GGCTGGACGCAGTCGACACTAGCCCTGGCTTCGCCAGTGGCCACTGCTGCCTAGGACAGCAATAGGGAGTTCTGTACACAATAAATACCTCCTTCTGGTGACTTCTGCACTTTAACTTCCAACCTGGGATTTGGCCTGATGATTGTAGTGATTTGAGTACACCCACTACTTAGACCGCTACACGGTCAGCCAATTGTGACATTTGAGTTTCAAACATGCTGGGGTCACTAGTTTTTACTAAGCTCGCCTTTTCACCATCGCCGTCAGCAGGCCAACATCAGGTAAGCCGAAGATCGAAAATGGTAGTTTTTTGCGTACAGAATCTTGAGATGGCAGTGGCCGCCAGCGAGATCAGGACACGCGTGAGAAAAGCGGGGATGTCTTGAAGGTCTACTGTTTTTGTAGCTTAGTGGAAATCCATTTGATTGCCTTCCGCTCCAGTGTGCAGACATTGTTGATCGTGAGGTCTTGACAGTCTGGGCGTCGAAGTTTTAGTCAGTCAGTCTGTAAGCTTGGCGCATACGAGAGCGTTCGCGTCAGAAGGGCATGAGCGTGACACAATTGGGTGTAGAAAGCGTGTATTTTGAATGGTCCTGGCGATCAATTATTTAACTTAAAAGAAAATGGTGACCTATTAACAGCATATAGCGGTTTCATCTATTGTGCAGAGCTGTAAAACCTCCCGGCTTCTATTGGCTGTTATTTACTGAAAAAAAACTTCAGCTTGGATCTTACCATTTTTTCCGATACTGTAACAAGATATTTGACCAAAAGATTTTTGCGTCTTTACCGAAGTCAGAATTTAAGGAACACAAAAGACAGCGAAGACCCGTGCGCATGTACATTCTTTTGAGTCCGACTTGTGTTCAGCCCACAGTCCTTATGAATTCTTATCAGATATGTATTTTGCATTACTTTCACAGCTTTGGATTCGGAGGGTCTCTTTCGACGATCCGCCAGGACTATCCTCGTACAAGCTGCTCAACAGACCTACAACGAAGGTATTTTTTTGCCTTCTTGTCTGGTTCTCACTTGGCTTGCCGGATGGCAGGACGGAGAGTTCATTTTGCTTTTTGTTACCTCCTGGAGACTTTATAGGCTGTCCTGAAAGCATGCTCAGTCCTACTCCTAGTCGCGGTTGACAGAAGACGGGCTCTTGCCTGAACCATTAGAGGGTTAAGCTCAACAACCGACAGAAACTGCGTTTCAAACACAGATATTCCCTTTTGAGGGTCGGGTGGGGTCGCCTCTTGAGGCCAAGTGATTGCTTTTTGTTTGCTCCTATCGGTTATTTCCTGCTTTCGATCGAATTTAGGCGAGATATTATACAACAGCCGAAAGTAAAGACTCTAATTTGGTACTGTGTAAATCAATCTCACTTAGTTTAATGGCCACTTCGTTTACAGTTTTACGATTCGGATACTCGTGTGAATTCGCACTTTGCCCTTTGAGTCTTTATAAACGATGTGACAACTTCAGATCTAAAGCGGAATATCTTCCATGGGATATTTCTTACGGATAAATTTCAGATTCTTAACTCAGTATGCGAGTGATGTAGTTCACTAATTCAAACCTGTTAGCCAATTTTCTATCTCTCGCGGTCCTAACAAAGTATGAACTGGCAAACGGTCTCTCCTAAGTACGGCTTAAATTTTGTGAGTTGCTCATTAAAACCCTGAGTTAGACACGCGAGCCTCCCTGAGATTGGCAGAAATCAGTAAGCAGAAAATTAACTTTCCGGAATCGAAAGGCCTGCCTCAGCCGTTTGAATACAATGTGTTCAGCATTCGACAATGGTCTTAAACAACGATCGCACGTGGAGAAGTTGACTTGAGTACTAAATACTACAATTAATTAGACACTTCGGCACAAATCTTGGATTTAATCAGCCCAAACTGTCACGGATTATAGGGAACCTATATATGCTCTGGACAAAATGATTCTTCCTCTTCGTAGTCATTAGATAAGTCGTTCACATTAAGGAAGCTTACGCACAGCTCACAGCTCATTTCATTTGTGCTCTTTTAAACAGGTAGCAGAGTGAAATTCGAGAACTTTGATGACCCTCACCTACCTGCGGTGCTGATCAAAACGTTCTTCCGCGAACTCTCGGAACCTGTTTTGACTTATGAACTGTATGATGAAGTTCTAAAAGTACACAGTAAGTAATTTATCATTTTCCCACGTAAGGTATCCCTTTTCAGCTAACTTATGACAGTTTTTGGTGATGTAATGCCCGTAAACGCCTTGAACTGCTAGGTTCAGACTGCTGACTAAATCGCGTTCACTGACGTCCCAGATCATAAGTAGTGAATGTTCAGACACCTTTCGAAGTTCTGGTGGACGCCCAGG